TTATCCCGGTTCTGGTGGAAATCTGGGTGTTAACTTTCACGGGGAGGACCTCCTTTAGCTTTGTACGCGAATTGCTTGGGCTTTGAGCTTTTGACATGAGTTGTGGCATGTCCGGTTAAAAAAAAAAAAACATTTTTTTTTTTCGATAGGTTGGTTTTGTGCTCTCTTATATGTGTTTTCATACAAGTTAATTCGCCGTTTGGAGCTGTGGAGGCTGGGTTTTGTTTAAAACTGAGAACCATAAGGTAGGCGCTCCGTTAATGTCGAACTCGTGAACTGAAATCATCTGAAAATAATTCTACCCATTACATTAGGTAAGAATCCTTAAGAGTTAGGAAAGAATGAGGTGAGGTTCAGAGAACTAACCTCATGATGGGAGGGGAGCAATGAAGCCCAATGTCTGGCTAAAAAGAGAGAGTGTTGCAAGAGGTCTTTATTTTTTTTTTAAATGTTACTTTGATAGCTTTATGACAAACCAACCATAACGATTTCTTAAACACCTGGAAATCATAGTATCTAAAGTCTCAGCTTTCAGTGAGGTCACAAAGTAAGTGGGGAAATAACCCAAGAAGAAAGTTTTTTGGTAATTGTTAGTAATGCTCAGTTCACATCCTGATAGTAACTCAACAATGCATTCGTTGATTAATACTACATTCATTTCATTTATGGTGAAATTGATTTTCTTTGGGAAAGTTGGGATCTGGAGAATTTGGCTTAGTATCAATAAACATAGTTTGCTGAGTATAAAAGTCTATTCTGCCTGTATTCTCATATTAAATTTTAAAATATTTGCTTTATTTTTCTAAGTATTTTCAGGTTCCTGTAAATAAAACTGGAAATATACTGTCATGTTTTGATACTTTATGCTGCTGTTTTTCTTTTCTTTCTTTCTTTTTTTAAATACATTTGAGAGCTTTTTTATTTTTATTTTTAATTGTCAATGGACCTTATTTATTTATATGTGGTGCTGAGAATCGAACTCAGTGCCTCACACATGTTGGGCAAGTGCTCTGCCACTGAGCCACAACCTCAGCCCTGAGAGCTTTCTTTCCAAAGTTTAGGAAGATTTGATGTGATTATTTTTGTAAACACATCTCTTGTGAGAAAAACTTAATAAATTTAGTTACCTTGATAATATGGAATCATGCCAAAGTGTTCTTCAGCAAAATTAGAAAATTAAATTATTATTTAGTTGATAAGTAAAATTGAAGAGAATTCTTGAAATAATTGAACATTGAAAAATCTTTTCTTAAGTACTTCATGCTGTTTTAGGAAGACAACTGACAGGCTGAATATGGCATTTAAAGATAAATTAAGGCAGCAATTGGTTCTGAAAGATCCTTACTTTAACCTATATCAAAGTTGACTTAGTTACAGTTTATCTCCAAATACTGACTTAGACCTTTTTTCCCTCAAAACATTCCGTTTGCTGATTGTTTTAGTGACATTGTATAACAGTATGCTTTTAGTTATCCAGATAGACCTTTTTTCCCTTCAAAACATTCCATATGCTGATTGTTTTAGTGACATTGTATAACAGTATGCTTTTAGTTATCCAGATACACACCTTAGTTTCATGTCTAGCCACATAACTTAATATTCACTTTGCTTTTTCTTCTTCATTTTCTTTATAATATATGTTTGGGTGGGATATGTAGGTTAATGGTAGAACACCTAGATAGCAAGTACAAGACTCAGTCCCCAGCACTGCAAATTTTAAAAAGAAAGATATACTTTTCTTCAACAAAATTTTTGCCCTATTTTAATTTTTGTCTCTGAATTGCGCACCAACTTTAACTGGATTTTCTGTCTGGCTTTTCTCAACTATGTCATGACTGCTGCTAGATCTTAAAAAACAATGCTTTGAACACATCCCTCACTGTGAGAAATCGGTGATATCTTTCTATTATCTACATAGCACAGTTCAGAATTCATAGCCTTCTAACAATCTGTTCAAGACCTACTTTTCTAACGCCAGTACTATTTCTCTGTAGGAACTGTCCATTCTAACTAAAGTAATCATTCTGATTTTCTCTTTGTATTTCTGCTATCTTTTGAAACTTTGAATATTGATGCATAGGCTGCCTATTCTTTAAAAATAAAAATTTCCTGTTAAATTACCCAGGTTGCAAATGAAATAAAATTTTGTTGAAGTTACATTTTTGATATTTCAGTATAGCCTTCCAAGTGTTTCCTGTGATGTTGCTTTTCTTTGAACTCATAATCCTTTTTTTAATCATGATTTTATGTCTACTTGTATGATAGCATTATAGAACATTATTGCAGGAATGTTAGAAACCAACTTTTTGTTTTATAGATAGGGAAATTGAAATCCATATAAAATAACTGCACTAAAATTCATACATCTTGCTATGAGTGTAAACTTAATCTCTTTATTCAAGTTTGGTGTATTTATAAAACTATACTACTACTCATCTTTTGTAATGTTTTGTATTGTTTACTTCACATTATTTTGTGTTTTAGGGCAGGGGAACCTTCATGATTTGCATTGTGAATTCATTATAAATTATTACAACCAATGTTTTCAAATCTACATACAACTTTTTCTTTATTATTTATATATGTGTATGTATACATATATATTTTTGGGGGGTTACTAGAGATTGTACCTGGTGGTCTTTACCGCTGAGCTACATCCCCATCCCTTTTTATTTTTAAGACAAGGTCTCAATAAGTTACTTAGGGCTTTGCATTCCTGAGGCTAGCCTTGAACTTGTGATCCTCCTGTCAGCCTCCTGAGTCACTCACTGGGATTACTGGTGAGGGCCAATGCACTTGGCTATATGTGTATTACAGTCTTTTTCTATGCTTGCTATCTGTGTTAACAGCATTAGAGCATCAGCAAAAATAATACCGTCATCTCTGTAGTTGAGTCCTGTGATCCACTAAAAAGGGGATGAAATCTTTTTTGTGTGTGTGTGGTGCTGGGGATTGAACCCAGTGCTTTGTGCATGCGATCAAGGCAAGTGCTCTACCAACTGAGCTATGCCTCAGCCCTGAAATTTGTTTTTTTTATTTGAATTTCTTGGTAAAGAGAATGAGTTGGGGTCCTCAAAGGTAGTACAGAAGGACTGGAATATTGCAGGTTTGGAGAAAACCTGGAGGGTTTATCACACAATTAAAAATGATCTAGGTAGATCCAGGTAGAGCTAGGTAGTACTAGCATTAGAAAAGCACTTTTCACATTTTGCTACTTTTTGTCATCTAGTTCATCTGTCAGGGACCATAAGTACATCTGTTTGTTGAGCAAAACATTCTAAAAGTCATGTTCCATTTTGGGGAGTTAGCTTTTATGTATTTTTTTCCTCATATTTCCCCCTCTCTTAACTTTAAAGTTTCTGTTAATAGAGGCAATGAGAGTTGTCTTGGTATTTTTCTTACATCTAAGTAACAAGAGTTGAATGGTGTAAAACCGCATAGAAAATTTCTGGGCAAAATCTCTTAGGAGTGAATGTTTCCTCTTTTGGTCTGAAACAAGTTGTTTTTCACTTAGTTTTTGGTTGTTAATAATGATTAAAAATTTTTTTTTTTTTTTTTAGTTGTCAGTGGACCTTTATTTAATTAATTAATTAATTTATATGTGATACTGAGGAATTGAACCCAGGGCCTCACACATGTCAGGCAAGTGCTCTACCACTGAGCCATAATTGTAACCCCTAATGATTTGTTTTTGTTTAAATAAATTACCACCTAAAATAAACAGTTGAAATACCAATTCTCTTGTTCATTTTTTCTAAGTTATACTTAACGGATTGGCAAACTAGATTTGAGTATGGTATGAAGGATTTCTGCTTTTGTTTAGAAAGACCAATTGAGTAAAGCAAACAGAGTATATGGAAATTTTTCAAAGAACTGTGCTTTTCAAGAACATTTTTGAAAAAAGAGTCAGCCTTTTCTTCCTAAGATTTCAGCAAACATTCCCCAAATCAATATGCTCTGCACTTTTTAAGTATTTCAACTGTAATGCAAAGACATTAGTTTACGAGGATATTGGAAAATATTCCTTGAAAATGGTTGATCAGCTTGATGTAGTGGCACAAGCCTGTGATCCTAGTGACATGGGCTACCAAGATGGGAAGATAGAAAATTCCAGGCCAGCCTGCGCAATGTAGTGAGACATAGTTCAAAATAAAAAATTTTAAAAAGGACTGGGGGTGTAGCTCAATCCTGTGAGGAGAAAACATTAAAAAATAATAATAATAAGGCTTGATCACTTCCAGGTACTACTATTTTTTTTTGGCTGTGCTTGGTATCAAACTCAGGGTCTTTTGTATGCTAGACAAGTTCTCTGTCATAGAATTACATCCCAGTTCTGTTATTGAATAAGGGAAAAAATTGGAAACATTTAGAATATTTCTTGTACAACCCACCCCCATCCCAATAACTTGACTTGCAGCCCTATAAATAAATTACAATATATTCATCCAACAGAATACTATCATCAGTGAAAAAGAACTGCACCCAACATCATGGCTGAAGGTCATAAACTCCATGTTGAGCTTTCTAGTCAGTTACTTTTGCTTTCTGTGTTTGTTTTCATTTCCTTTCCAGGTCCTTAGGGAAAGCCCTATAAGTCCTCTCATGATACAGCTTTTGCTGATTTCTAGATTGTTTCTCTAGCCATTCTCCCTTTTCTTTTAGGGCCTTGACTAGCCAAGCTCTTTTTTGCCTTGGAGCCAGTGAACATACTTTTCCCTTTGGCCAGACGGTTCTCTTTGGTTAATTGGTATTAAGTTTGGTTGCTAGAAACAGGAAGATGCCAAATAACAATTTTGCTTTTATGCCAGAAAAATCCAGGGTTGGCATGACATTAATTTATTGAATTTTATTTCCGCGTGCGCATATGTGGGTGTGTGTATGCATGTGTGTCTGTATGTTTTGCTATTTTAACTAGTTCTGAAGTAAAGATCTTTGGTATAAGGCTTTAAACATTTTTCCTTTTTTAAAAATATATTCCTATTGTATTCAATTGAAAAATTTAATTTTTTATTACATGTAAACTTATTTAAATGTATATCTCAATGAATTTTCCTATTTGTAGACAATCATATAACCCATGGTCCAAGTCAAGACATAGAGTGTATCTGGTCTCTACGTCCTACCCTCTCCTAATCAGTATTCCTTATCTTCCCCTCAGAGATAATCACTCTTCTGACTTTTATCACTATAAATTATTTTTGCTTGAACTTAATATAAGTAGAACCATACACACACACTCTTGTGGTTGGCTGTTTTTGCTCAACATGGTGTTTATGACCTTCAGCCATGATGTTGGGTGCAACAGTAGTTCTTT